AGGTGACACAGGTGACACAGGTGACACAGGGGTGACAGTCTCACCTGCAGCACGTAGTGCTGGGGGCCGAGCGTGAACTCCTTGCCCCCCAGGACGAAGGTGACGTTGGGCAGGGACGGGACCTTGTCACAGTCCAGCAGGTACTGGGGGGACAGGGGACAGGGACACTGGGGACACGGGGACAGGGGACAGGGGACACGGCCTCAGACACGGGGACAGGGGACAGGGACAGGGGGACACGGCCTCAGACATGGGGACAGGGGACAGGGACAGGGGGACACGGCCTCAGACATGGGGACAGGGGACAGGGACAGGGACAGGGACACTGGGGACACGGCCTCAGACACGGGGACAGGGGACAGCAGGGACCCCCACCCACAGGGGACACGGGGACAGGGACACTGGGGACACGGCCTCAGCAGGGGACAGGGACAGGGGACAGGGACAGGGACAGGGGACACGGCCTCAGACACGGGGACAGGGGACACAGGGACACGGGGACAGCAGGGACCCCCGCCCAGGGGTCCGAAGGGGTTGTGGGGGACACTTGGGGGCACTCAGGGACCCCCATCCACAGGGGACACTCAGGGACCCCCACCCAGGGGTTCAGGGGGGTCCGTGGGGGACACTTGGGGACACTCAGAGATCCCAAAAACCCCACCCGGGGGGTCCGGGGATCATGGGGGACCCTCGGTGCCCCTCAGTGCCCCTCGGTGACACTCAGTGACCCTCGGTGACATTCAGGGACACTCAGTGACCTCCTGTGCCCCTCGGTGACCTTCGGTGACACTCAGGGACCCTGAAGGACACTCAAGGACCCTTGGTGACACTCGGTGACACTCGGGGACCCTCAGGAACACTCTGGGACACTCAGGGACCCTCAAGGACACTCAGGGACACTCAGGGACATTCAGGGACCCTCGGTGACACTTGGGGACACTCAGGGACCCTCAAGGACACTCAGGGACCCTCGGTGACCCTCGGTGACACTCGGTGACCCTCAAGGACACTCAGGGACATTCAGGGACCCTCAAGGACCCGCGGTGACACTCGGGGACATCCAGGGACCCTCGGTGACCCTTGGTGACACTCGGTGACCCTCGGTGACACTCGGTGACACCCAGGCACCCCGGTGCCCCGTACCTGCCCCCGGGTGACCCTCAATGACACTTGGGGACCTCGGTGACCCTCAGTGACAGGGGACATCCAGGGACCCTCGGTGACCCTTGGTGACACTCGGTGACCCTCGGTGACACTCGGTGACACCCAGGCACCCCGGTGCCCCGTACCTGCCCCCGGGTGACCCTCAATGACACTTGGGGACCTCGGTGACCCTCAGTGACACTCAGGGACATTCAGGGACCCTCGGTGACCCTCAGTGACACCCAGGCACCCCGGTGTCCGTACCTGTCCCCCAGTGACCCTCAATAACACTTGGGGACCCTCGGTGACCCTCGGTGACACTTGGGGACACCCAGGGACCCTGGGTGACACTCGGTGCCACCCAGGGACCCCCGGTGACCCTCGGTGACACTCAGGGACCCTCGGTGACACTCGGTGGCCCTTGGTGACCCTCGGTGACACTCGGTGACCCTCAGTGACACTTGGGGACACCCAGGGACCCCCGGTGCCCCGTACCTGCCCCCGGGTGACCCTCAATGACACTTGGGGACCCCCGGTGTCCCCCGGTGTCCCCCGTGTCCGTACCTGCCCCCGGGTGACCCTCAATGACCCCCGGTGTCCCCGGTGTCCCCGGTGCCCGTACCTGCCCCCCGATGCCGCCGGTGGCCCCCAGGGCGCGGTTGAGCGCGGCCACCTCTGTCCGTACCTGCACCCGGGTGACCCTCAATGACCCCCGGTGTCCCCGGTGTCCCCGGTGCCCGTACCTGCCCCCCGATGCCGCCGGTGGCCCCCAGGGCGCGGTTGAGCGCGGCCACCTCGTGGCTGGGCCCGGTGAGCAGCGACGTCCCCGTGTCCACGATGGCCTCGCAGCCGCCCCGGCACAGGGGGGGGTCCCGGCACCCCGCGGCCCCCGGGGTCCCCAGCGACAGCCTGGGGGGGCAGGGGTGCTCTTTGGGGGTCCCAGAGGGGATTTGAGGGTCCCAAGGAGGGTCCAAAAGGAGATTTGGGGATATTTTGGGTGTATTTGTGCATTATTAGGGGTGTATTTGGGGTTAGTTTGGGTGTATTTGTGTGTTATTTTGGGTGTATTTTGGGTGTTATTTTGGGTGTATTTCTGCGTTATTTTGGCTGTATTTGGAGATTAATTTTGGAGCATTTCTACATGAGTTTGGGTGTATTTGGGGATATTTTGGGTGTATTTCTGCGTTATTTTGGCCGGTTTTGGGGCACAATCAGTGTGTGCCCAGGGCTGCTCCAGGAGTACTTTGGGGACATTCAGGTGTGCCAGGTGTGCCCAGGTGTGCCCAGGTGTGCCAGGTGTGCCCAGGTGTATCACAGGTGTGCCCAGGTGTGCCAGGTGTGCCCAGGTGTATCACAGGTGTGCCCAGCTGTGCCCAGGTGTGCCGGGTGTACCCAGGTGTATCCCATCTGTCCCCATCTGTCCCCACCTGTCCCCACCTGTCCCCGGTGTCCCCAGCTGTCCCCATCTGTCCCCGGTGTCCCCAGCTGTCCCAGGCTGTCCCCACCTGTCCCCACCTGTCCCCACCTGTCCCCACCTGTCCCCAGGTGTCCCCAGGTGTCCCCGGTGTCCCGGTGTCCCCGGCGTACCTGCGCAGGCGGAAGGAGAAGACGTTGTTCCGGAACAGCCGCCGCTCCATCATGTTGTCGAAGACGGGCCGGGCGGGGCCGGCGGCCGCGGCGGGGAACGCCAGCCCCAGCACGCCGTCGAAGCGCGCCGCAGCGAACGCCAGCCCGGGCAGCGCCACCGCCTCGGCAAAGGTCTGGTTGGGCACGGTGACATTGGAGATCTGTGGGGACAGGCACCGTGAGGGTGTCGGTGCTCAGGAAGCCCCTCAGGGACCCCCGGGACCCCTCCCCAGGACCCTCAGGGACCCCCAGGACCCCTCCCCAGGGACCCCAGCCCACCGTGAGCGTGTCGGTGCTCAGGAAGCCCCCCAGGACCCCTCCCCAGGACCCCTCCCCAGCCCACCGTGAGCGTGTCGGTGCTCAGGAAGCCCCTCAGGCTGCCGCTGCCGTAGCTGATGGCGAAGGCGCTGCCGTTGGCGCGGTGCGTGCACGACAGCAGCGGCTGGTAGTGCGGGTGGAGCCCTGCGGGACACGCCCACCCTCCTCAGGCCACGCCCACCCACCGCAGGCCACGCCCACCCTCCTCGGGCCACGCCCACCCTCCTCAGGCCACGCCCATTCCCACCAGACCACGCCCACTCCCCAAAGGCCACTGCCCAAACCACGCCCATTCAGCCATGCCCTGCTAGGCCCCGCCCACCAGCCAATCCACGCCCTTTCTGTGCTCCTAGGCCCCGCCCACCACCCAAACCACGCCCTTTCTGTGCTCCTAGGCCCCGCCCACCACCCAAACCACGCCCATTCCCTTGCCACACCCTGCTGGGCCCCACCCACACCTTGCTAGGCCACGCCCACACCCAAACCACACTCTGCTAGGCCACGCCCACACACCAACCACGCCCTGTTAGGCCCCACCCATTCACCCAAGCCCCGCCCACCCGGTGCAGTGCCCCTTTTGGCCCCACCCCTTACAGCAGTCCAGTTCCACCCTGTTAGGCCCCGCCCACTTCCCAAAATGTGCCCATTCTGCCCTGCTAGGCCACGCCCATGCCCAAACCACACCCTGTTATGCCCCTCCCACTTACCCAAGCCACGCCCATCCACATGCCCCGCCCCTTACAGCACTTCTGCGCCACCCACCGCCTTTTTCATCCCTTTAGGCTCCACCCACGCCCTGCTAAGCCACGCCCACACCCAACTACACCCTGTTAGGCCCCGCCCTCTAATCCCTGCCCCCTTTGGCCCCGCCCCTCACAGCAGTCCTGTTCCACCCTTTAGGCCCCACCCACCACCCAAACCACGCCCTGCTAGGCCCCGCCCACACACGAACCACACCCCGCTAGGCCCCGCCCAGCCCGGCCCCGCCCCGCCAGGCCCCGCCCCTCACAGCAGGCCAGGTAGAGCAGGCAGCAGCGCCACGAGGGCACCCAGAGGTCGGCGGAGCCGGTGTCGAAAATGACGCGGAAATCCTGGGGAGGGGTCCCCAGGGACACGGTGCCGTAGTACTGCGCCTGGGGGGGCACGGTGTCACCCGGGGTGTCCCCAGGGGTCACCGTGTCACCCGGGGTCCCCAGGGAGCTGTCACACCCACCCCAGTGTCCCCAAAGGGTGGGGATGTCCCCTCCCCATCCCCAGGGACACCGTGCCGTAGTACTGCGCCTGGGGGGGCACAAAGTGTCACCCGGGGGGGCACGGTGTCACCCGGGGTGTGCCCGAGGGGTCACCGTGTCACCCACGGTCCCCAGGGAGCTGTCACACCCACCCCAGAGTCCCCATGTCACTGTCACCCCCTGTCCCCACCATGTAGTTCCGGAGCCGCGCGGGCGCCGCCGCCCCTCCCCCACTGCGGCTGCGGGGGCCGCCCCCGCCCCCCCAGAACCTGGGGGGCACCCAGGGGCCCCTCTCCAGGGGGATGCTGCGGCACGCCAGGGGTTAATCAGCACGACCGGCCCGTAATTAGCACAATTAATGGCGCTAATTATGCCAACGAGGCCACCCACCCAGGGCCGCGCCGCACGGGGCTCGGGTGGGGTTAATTAATGAGGGTAATTAGCGAGGGGCTCCCTCGGGGTTGGAAGGGTTAATTGGGGCGCGGGGGTGCCCCCCCAAAATTGCGGGGTGACCCCCGGGGTCAGAGGTCACGGGGGGGGCACGCCCTGGAGGGCGGGGCCGGGTCCGACCGGGACCGACCGGGTCCGAGCGGGTCCGACCGGCTCCCGCCCCCGCAGGGGAGGGACCGCGAACCCCAAAATCCTCCTGGGAGGGACCCGGAACCCCAAAAACCCCTCCCAAAATCCACCTGGGAGGGACAGGAACCCCAAATTCACCCCAAAAATCCACCTGGGGGGAACGGGAACCCCAAAAACCCCTCCCAAAATCCACCTGGGAGGGACCGGGAACCCCCAATTCACCCCAAAAATCCACCTGGGGGGGGCTGGGAACCCCAAATTCACCCCAAAAATCCACCTGGGAGGGACAGGAACCCCAAATTCACCCCAAAAATCCCCCTGGGGGGGGGCTGGGAACCCCAAAATCCACCTGGGAGAAACAGGGAACCCCCAAAATCTACCTGGGGCACTCAGGAACCCCAAAATCCACCTGTGAGGGACCGGGAACCCCAAAATCCACCCGGGAGGGACCCGGAACCCCAAAAACCCCTCCCAAAATCCACCTGGGGGGAACGGGAACCCCCAAATTCACCCCAAAAATCCACCTGGGGGGAACGGGAACCCCAAATTCACCCCAAAAATCCACCTGGGGGGGGGCTGGGAACCCCAAAATCCTCCTGGGAGGGACCGGGAATCCCCAAAATCCGCCCAGGAGGGACCGGGAACCCCCAAAATCCCTCGCAAAATCCACCTGGGGGCATCCGGGAACCCCAAATTCACCCCAAAAATCCACCTGGGAGGGACCGGGAACCCCAAAATCCACCGGGGGGGGGGGCTGGGGGCCCCAAAACCCCTCACAAAAACCACCTGGGGACACCTGGGAACCCCAAAGAACCCCAAAATCCCCCGGGGGGGGGGGCTGGGAGCCCCAAAACCCCTCACAAAAACCACCTGGGGACACCTGGGAACCCCAAAACCCCTCACAAAAACCACCTGGGAGGGACAGGAACCCCAAATTCACCCCAAAAATCCAGCTGGGGGGAACGGGAACCCCAAAATCCCTCCCAAAATCCACCTGGGGGCACCCAGGACCCCCAAATTCACCCTAAAAATCCACCTGGGGGAGCTGGGAACCCCAAAACCCGCTTGGGAGGGACCGCGAACCCCAAAATCCACCCGGGAAGGACCGAGAACCCCCCAAATCCCACCTGGGGGTCTCCAGGTATCCGGGACCCCCAAAAAAAACCCCCAGCCCGGAGTACCCAGGTGCCCGGGAACCCCAAACCTCCTCAACTCCCCCCAAAACTCACACCTGGGGGGTGCCCAGGTATCCGAGACCCCCCAAATTCCACCCAGGACCCCCCCAAATCCACTCCCAGGTATCCGGGACCCCCCAAATTCCACCCAGGACCCCCCCAAATCCACTCCCAGGTATCCGGGACCCCCCAAAATTCCCTCCGGGACCCTCCAAACTCACCCTGCGACCCCCCGACACGCCCCCTGCCCCCAAACCACGCCCCCTCCCATTGACAGCGATGGGGAAACCCCGTCAGGCCACGCCCCCTTAATTGGCGGCTTTGTGAGGCCACGCCCACATGGCCATAAATGGTGTAACAAGCCACGCCCACTCTAGAAAGCCACGCCCTCTCATTGGTTAAACTATGCTCGCAGCCACGCCCCCTCATTGAGAAAATAGGCCGGGTAGCCACGCCCCCTTGAGCCACGCCCATTGTAAGTATATATTACCTGGCCACGCCCCCGGGTGACGTCATGGCGGGGGCGGGGGTGACTCAGGGGGCGCGGGAACCCCAAAACCGCCCCCACATCCGGGGGGGGGCGGAATTCCCGCCAAAACAGAAATTTGGGGGCGCCCCAAAAACCGCCCCCTCCCCTGGGGACGCCCCCGAAATTTTGGGGGGGTTTTGAGGGGGAACGGTAAAATTGAGCAGATTAATTTTGGGGGAAAAAGTCACCCCGAAATGTGGGGAGGGGGCTCGGACCGAGCCATAAATGGGGGGGGTTCCCCCCAAATTAACTCATTTTGGGGGTCCCAAAATTGTCACTGCTCGGGGGGGGGTCCCCAAAATCACCCCAGAATTGGGGATCGCCCCCCAAAATCAGCCCATGGTGGGGGGGACCCCAAATTCTCCCATGAGACCCCGCCCAAAAACAAACTGTGGGGGGGGTCTGGAACTGCCCCATGGCTGAGACCCCCCCCAATTTGGGGGGGCTGTGACCCCAAATTCCCCCCACAATTTGGGGTGTGCTGACCCCAATTTCCCCCATATTTTGGGGTGGGGGTGGCCCCAATTTCCCCCCATAACTTGAAGGGTTGTGACCCCAAGTTCCCCCCATAATTTGGGGGTCTGTGACCCCAAATTCCCCCATAGTTTTGGGGGGTTATGACCCCAATTCCCCCATAAATTGGGGCGGGGGTCCCCCAAACCCGGCCCCATATTTTTGGGGGGGCTGTGACCCCAAATTCCTCCCATATTTTGGGGTGGGGGTGACCCCAATTCCCCCCATATTCTGGGTGGTCGTAACCCCAATTCCCCCCCCAATTTGGGGGGGCTGTGACCCCAAATTCCCCCCACAATTTGGGGTGTGCTGACCCCAATTTCCCCCATATTTTGGGGTGGGGGTGGCCCCAATTTCCCCCCATAACTTGAAGGGTTGTGACCCCAAGTTCCCCCCATAATTTGGGGCGGGGGTCCCCCAAACCGGCCCCATATTTTTGGGGGTGTGTGACCCCAATTCCCCCCCCAATTTGGGGCGGGGGTCCCCCAAACCCGGCCCCATATTTTGGGGTAGGGGTGACCCCAATTCCCTCCACAATTTGGGGTGGGGGTCCCCAAATTCCCCCATAACTGTGACCCCCCCAATTTGGGGGTGTAACCCCAAATTCCCCCCCCAATTTGGGGCGGGGTCCCCCAAACCAGCCCCATATTTTTGGGTGGTCGTAACCCCAATTCCCCCCATAATTTGGGGAGTTGTAACCCCAAATTCATTCCATATTTTTGGGGGTGGTTGTAACCCCAATTCTCTCCACAATTTGGGGCGGGGGTCCCCCAATCCAGCCCCATATTTTTGGGTGGTCGTAACCCCAATTCCCCCCATAATTTTGGGGAGTTGTAACCCCAAATTCCCTCCATAATTTGGGGGGGTTGTGACCCCAATTCCCCCCCAATTTGGGGCGGGGGTCCCCCAAACCCATCCCCATATTTTTGGGTGGTTGTAACCCCAATTCCCCCCATAATTTGGGGAGTTGTAACCCCAATTCCCTCCATAATTTGGGGGATTTGTGACCCCAATTCCCCCCCCAATTTGGGGCGGGGGTCCCCCAAACCGGCCCCATATTTTTTGGGGATTTGTGACCCCAATCCCCCCCCCAATTTGGGGCGGGGGTCCCCCAAATCCCCCCCATAATTTGGGGTGGTTGTAACCCCAATTTCCCCCCCAATTTGGGGCGGGGGTCCCCCAAACCCATCCCCATATTTTTGGGTGGTTGTAACCCCAATTCCCCCCATAATTTGGGGAGTTGTAACCCCAATTCCCTCCATAATTTGGGGGATTTGTGACCCCAATTCCCCCCCCAATTTGGGGCGGGGGTCCCCCAAACCCGGCCCCATATTTTGGGGGAGGGGTGACCCCAATTCCCTCCACAATTTGGGGTGGCCCTGAGATGCCTTCAAACCCCCCTGAGATGGCCCCAAACACCCAAGGAACTTCTCCAGGAGCTCTGGGAACCCCTCTGAGACCCAAAGAGCTCCTCCAAACCCTCCTGAGATACCCCCAAACCCCCCTGAGATGCCTCCAAAGCCTCAAGGATCTTTTCCACGACCTTCAGGAACCCCTCCAAGCCCTAGAGAGTTCCTCCAAACCCCCCTGAGATGCCCCCAAACCCCCAAGGAGAACCTCCAGGACAGGTTTTATGACCCCCAGGACAGGTTTCTTGACCCTGGGACCTGTTCCCGGCCCCAGCCCGTGTCTCTCACCCTGCCCAGGTACTTCCAGTCGAGCAGGTCGCTGAGGCGCTCGGTGCGGTTGCGCTGCACGATGCGCTGCCGCCGGCTCTGCTGGCAGAAGCCGTACAGGAACGCCGTCAGCTGCGCGCACGACTCCTCGGGGGCGCGGAACCGCCGGTCCACGATGTAGATCCCTGCAGGGGACACCGTGAGGGACAGGGGGACAGGG